CCCACAGGACATACATTAACATCCCACAGCAGTGACAGATTTGAGGCTCCAAGACAATAGTTTCTCCAATTACCTCAACATAGTATGACTAAGTTGTGTGCTCCCCTAGGAATTTTCAGTCCCTAAGGGATGAATAATAGTATTGTGTATCTCAGTTGAAACACCTGATGTTCAGAGTCTAAATTCAACTGTTCATCCAGCATAATGTCCTCTTCATTGTTTTCTGCTCATTTATGATTTATGTAGTCTTTGTGTGATGTATGCATGTGTGTGTGTGTAGATGTGTACATTGGTGTGTGCGCACAGGCCTGATACTGACATCTGGTCTTCCCTCTGTCACTCTTTCCCTTATTCCCTTTAGCCCATGTCTCCCAGGGAACCTGAAATTTTCTGTTTTGGTTAATTTGGCTGGACAACACTGGATCTCCTGTGTTCTCCAAAATAGATCTTCTGTCTTGTCTTGTCTCTTCTAATTGTTACAAGTTTCAATAGCTCAGGAAGAGGAAGGATTTAGTAGCTCTCTCTTTATTTTATACTTATTTATTGTTTTGGAATCAATGTGTTTTGTACTAAATAACAAAAGTCAAACAATACAGCTATTTAAAAAATAAAAAGCAGATTTGTTTTTCCTTTCACTGCACAGAGCTAACACCATAGAAAATATCTGGTTTGTCTCATTGGCTTCACTACACAGAATCCCACAGTGCATCTCCTTGCTGACATTGTGTTGCTGACTATATCATGTGCATGGCTGTGTCCCAGAAGAGATTCCCTCTCATAGCTGTGCAGAGTGCTGTGTTCCTGAAAAGCACTGCAGGTGATGTCACTATCCTTCTTCTGACTGACATGTAGCAGAATTCATATTATATGCACTGTAATTGTTGAAAACTTATTGGGTGTTGACCATGGGTCACTTTCTTTCACTTAAGCTATCAAGGTCTTCTGTGGAGAACAAGGTAGGTTGAGTGAAGAGATTATGATGGGTTAACTTGAAACCTGTGGGAACAATGAGTCTCAGGATGGATAAAATTCATGGAAGCATAAGTAAGTGCAGTCCAGGATAGCAGAACCCAGCTAAGTCTAAGAGCCTTGTAGACAGCAGGAAGGGCCCACTACTTCCTCCTGCATCAGAAGAGGTTTGGAAAGACAGCAGTCTTCTCCCTGATTATTCTGTATGAAGAAGTGTGTGTGTGTGTGTGTGTGTGTGTGTGTGTGTGTGTGTGTGTATCTGTGTGTGTTTGTGTGTGTGTCTGTGTCTGTGTTGTGTAGTGCATTTCTGTTCATCCCTCTGTGTGTGTGTGAGTGTGTGTGTGTACCTCCATGTGTGTTTGTGTATGTCTACTGCCAGTTGTTTGCACAATAGTGTCCCTTTGTGTGTGTATGTATCCCCATGTGTGACTGAGTTTGGTTTTTGTGTTCATGTTTCCTGTATGTGTAGGGGTAAGTGCTTGTATTGTATGAGTGTTTGTGAGTATGGGTGCTTATTTGTGAAAATATGTGATTGTGTGCACTGATGTGTTCATTTTTGTATGTGTGTATTTCTGCATATTTATGTTTGTTTACTCAGGAAACATCTTTAATGATGATGGTGTCCAGCTCTATTGAGAAAGTACTGTGCTCGCTCACTTGCATCCATCAAATATTGTAAGCTACTGCCTATATTTCTGCATGTCCACCTAGCTCTCTAGAACAAAAGGACACAAAACCTACTGTAATACAGTGGTTTTGAGGTATTTGTACAGGGGAAAATATTTATCTGTAAGAAAGAAACGGTTTTGGATCAAACCAAAGAATGTGGTACAGGAAGCTGAGGAGGATGCCACTGTGGCAAATAGAGGTGTCTGAGAGGCAGGATAGGCTGACTGAGGGTTTGTGTCCCTTCTATGCTCTGGGTGAATGGTGACTGTACATTCAATGGTCAGGTGGCTAACTGTGTCTTCTCTGTACCCTGTTTTGTCCTCATCCACATTGCCTGCTATCATTTTCTTTCCACATTTGCCTAATCGTGGCTCACTTAAACTTGGCCTTGGAGCTTGGACTGGATTTTGTTCATTGAGAGATTCTGACTTGCAATGTGATTATAGCTGCATCTAAGTCCAGCAGAAGTCCCATAGCCATGCTGTGGTGTGAGAATGGGGCTGTCTCAGTGTACCGCACTTAGGCTAATGATAGTTGAGAGCACTCACCATGTGCTCTATCTGTAGCAATCAGTAACTGCTGTTATTCAAAGTTGTTCACTCTGAGTTAAAATTAGCCTCATGGAGGGTTGGGGAACGTGAGGACCCTCAGAGATTGCTGGTGGTGTAAAAAGATGTAGCCTAGTGAAAAGCCACACAGAATTCTTCAGAAAGTTAATTCTTCACTGCAGTCCCCAGGTGACCCAGTGATTCCAGAACATCAAGTAGGTGTCCACAAAGAAGCTAGAGGATATCAGAGTTGTTGCAGCATTCCTCAGAGTAGTCGCAAAGTAGAAACTATTTAGATTTCCATCATTATATGAGTGAAAAAGTACTATGTGGTTGAGACTTTCCATGGAATATTGTTTAGCATAAAATAGTACATGCAATCATTTGGCCATATGTGCTGATATATTATGTTCCCCAATATATTGTGCATACTAATAAACTTATCTGGGGTCAGAAGACAGAACAGCCACTAGATAGACATAGAGGCCAGAAAATGGTGGCACACATGCCTTTAATCCTGTCACTTGGGAGGCAGGGATCCATCCGGATCTCTGTGAGTTCAAAGCCAAACTGGAAATAGCCAGGCATGGTGACTCACACCTTTAATCCCAGGAAGTGATAGCAGAAAGCAGAAAGGTATATAAGGCATGAAAACCAGGAAGTAGGGCTGGTTAAGCTTTTAGGCTTTTGAACACAGTTCAGTTGAGATTCCTTCTGGAGGAGGACTCAGAGGTTTCCAGTCTGAGGAAACAGGATCAGCTGAAGGATTGGCAAGGTGAGGTGGTTGTGGCTTGTTCTGCTTCTCTGATCTTCTAGCATTCACCCCAATACCTTGCTCCAGGTATATTTGTTAGTAAGACCTTTTAAGATTCGTGCTATAGCCATAACTTAGGCAGACTTTTGTTATTCAAACACATCCCTGAGACAGTCACCTTACGGGAAAGAATTGTTGATTTTTGAGTTCTGGTTGAGGAGATTTTCTGGTTTCTTTACCTCATTGCTTTGGGTCCTAAGTGAGGCAGCCTGTGGTAAAGGGAGCTCTTTTTGGAGGAAGTTGCTCACCTTGGGGGCCACTGGGAAGCAGTGTACAAGACTAGTGGGCTCATCCACCACCATCCCGTGGTCCTGTGCTGGGGAACATTCCTATACTGCACAGATGGGGAACTTCCTAAGCAGGGTTGGCTAATGGGCCAGGACCCCAGAGGTCCACCTGTGTGTGCATTAGGTTCACAGTATAGACCTCTAATGACTGAGCTGCCTATCTCTCATGCACACTGTGTTCTTCTCTCATCCAACAAAAGTTAACCTTCTTCTCAATAGTATCCCTGGTGATGGCTCCTTGTATTACCGTTAACTGATAAACTGAATATGTTACTGCATTACAATGTGCTTGTATATGCATTTACATGTACTTGTGTGTGTTTATGAGTTTATGTGTGTGCATCTGGGTGAGTAACCCACCATGAGAACACAATATTCTAATGAACAGGAGCACGAAAGCCTGGATGAAAGAATAAAAGACTCACTGGAGCAGAAGGAGCTGGTCACCCAGCACAGGGACTTGGCAAAAAAGCTGCCACATCACTGCAATGTCTCTGAGATGAGGTAGGAGGAGGAGTTAGAACCATGTAGGTCACCTGTACCTGGATCTTTGTTCTTTTCAAGATTCTTCCTATCTGAATGGCTCTCAGCCACAGGCAGGGAAAGAATGGTATTGTGCTGGCCCAGTTAACAAGAACTTCTCCAGGAAACACTATGTTTGATCCTTAGTGTTTCTGGGGAGTGTGTACCCCTCATTCACTTCTGAGCTCTTTGGTGTCTTCTCAGTAGCTTGTCCCCTGTGTCTCCTCACAAATCGCCTATAGTATTCCTAAACCCAACAGGAGGAGGGTTAAGTGTGGAGGACAGTGTGTTCTTCTGCCACTTTATTTTCCTTCCAGAACATCACCTTTACAGAGAAGTTCCTACCTTTGGGCAGATCTGCATGCAGCACACTCCTGCTCATTACAGGCTCTCTGCAGTGTGCATCGTTTTCCTGTGGAAAGATTTTTCTGGTTATAAGAAGTTTTAATGGTTAAGGAGTTGGACTCAGACAGGTTTCTGTGCTGTAGGAATAATTAGAACCTTCAATGATTTTATTTTATAGGCTCCCCTAGAGGGTCTACTTTTAGTTTCCCAGGTTGTTCATATTCACAAGGCTATGCATATCTGTCCTCAACTGTCACTCAGACATTGCTACACTAATTTTTTTTCCAAAATAATGTATCTGGAGAAATGTGCTGTATTTTCTTGTCCAGCATAGTGTAGTTCTCAATTCATATTCTAGAAGATTTTAAAAGCTGAGAAAAAAAATCAATCCAGGCCCAGGTGCACTCTGACCTTTCTCCCTTGGGGAATGCAGCGAATGACTTCAGCTGAAGGATCAGACTGGATTTTCTAGCTGTATAGAGCTGGTTTGGGCCCAATGGCTGACATAGCAGGCCCCACCAGCCTGTTTCCTACCTGTCCCCCTCCTCTAGGTAAGAAAATCTCCATTCTCATTTGGAACAGGCCACAGCCCAGGATGAGAGCCTCCTTCAGACAGCTGATGCAGCAGGAGCATAAAGTATCACAGGAAAGTGAGCCACACAGGGCATTGGTGGCAGGACTGAGGCTCTGGACCTTGGCTTCCAGTGTGAATAGGCCCTGATCTTTTCTAATCTGTGCCCCAGCCAGGCTGCTTCTGGGTCTGATGGCCTTTCCTCCTCACATAGCAGATCTAGGGAGAACTGAGGAGTTCAAAGAAGCCACAGACACCTTGGACCCATGACATTCTCCACCCTCGGATCAAGGCCTCCTCCTCAGAATGAACTCACCAGTGAGGCAAATACCAGCTGACCTCCAGGTGATCCAGCCCCAATCAGGTCCATGGGTTTGTTGACTCAGTGCTCCTGAAGAAAAGAAAGCATCAAAAATGAGCTTGAGATACAAAAAAAACATGAAACAAGAATTACTGAGAATCCTGACATACAACTTGTGAGGGTACAACAACATGGAGGGTAGAGATGTTGATGAGCAAGAATTTATCTGACAGTTTAATGTCAACAGTTTTGGCAAGCTGACTGAGTCCTGAGCCCTCCCTATATGGTGGGGAATCTGTCAAGGAAGACTGCGTTGATGTCAAGATGTTCCAGACAGACCACACCCAAAAGCATCATATTTCATTCTCCAGTTCAGTGTTAAAGCTGACCCCATGTCATTCAAAGCATTGCTGAAGATAACACACCACAGAGATTATAAATGTTCCTAATTCCTAGTCTTGATCAATTTTCCTCCATGTGTGAAATGAATGGGTTTTCTTCAGTTTCACAGGCTGGACTGAAGTGACTGTTCCTGGAAAGGATGTACAGATGACATATGGGTCATTTTTTGGATGTTCTTGGGCACTCAGATGCTGCGCACAGATTTGTTGGGTCTCTAGTAAGCACACAACTCTATGTTAGCTAAAAGAATCAAATAGTGGCCAAGACATTGATAGTTTATCAAAAGCTTCCCCACAGGACCACAAAGAATGCTCTCCAAACATGTCTCATCCTTAGTTTTGGTGAGGGCTTGACCCACAAAGCCCCAAGGAGGCCTGGTTATACAAGCGTTGAAAAGGCTTTTTATATGAGGTGACTGCCTTCCTACCATGTTTCTAAGACCAGTCATAGATTGCAGGTATGTGCTGCTAAATCTGCAGCAAGTGAATGCTTCTGAGCTTAATATTTTGTTTGGTTTTTGGTTGCATTTTGTTTGCTTTGGTTTTTGTTTGTTTGTTTGTTTTCTTTGTTATGGTTTGAGGTTTTGCAATTTGTTCTTTTTTTGTTTTTATTGTTTTGGCATTTTGCTAAGGCTATCCACTGTTCATATTTAAGCTTCTATAGATTAAAATGGCTACATTTTTATTAATAAAAATGATTTACAACTCTTCTCTCTTAGAATGAATTTCTTTGTTCAGGTGTGGTGTCTCACTTCAGTAGCCCTAGAACTTCCTGTCAGACCAGAAGTCTTATGTACCCTGCTTGGGCTACATAGTGAGTTCCCAGCCAGCCAGGGCTACACAGGGCTTTGGATATGGATGGTGTTGCCAAGTCTATGGATATCCATTGCATGATGGAAAAAAAATATCCATACTGTATTCTTGTGGTATTATATTTAACTATGTCTAAAATATAGCATTCTGTATACACTTTTCATGAAGTAATCATGTGCACCAAATTAATAACAAACACAGCAGTATTGCTCTAAAGCCTCTCAGGAAATGAAAACATTCACTAAGGGAGTGTGAAAGAAATCCATGGCCTGCTTGCCACCTGGGGCTGTGATGATACCTCTGCCTGGGCTGCTGCCAAGTGCCATGTACTCTCCATGGCCCTGACAGAGCTGTGGGGGTCTGTGTTGATATATACATGACTCCTCAGTGAGGGCCTTGCAGCTACATGCAGTCTGGGCCACCACCTGTGACCTTGTTGGTGTTAAAGGAATATGCCCCACAGGGGCCATGTGTGTCTTAGCAGGGACTCTTGCTGAGGGTATTGGTGAAATTATTAAGGCCACTCCACGTAGTTAAAAGGAAGATTTATTTAGTGGGTAACTTATAAATGAAGGGATAGGAAGGTTGCCGGGTCTGGGGAAGGTGTATCCCAGTCCAGCATTGTTTTCTGGGGCTCTGCTCAGTCCACCTCCACCATCTAGGGTCCAGGAACTGAGAGAGCACTCGTTAATCCAGATCTTGGGTCTCCAGGTGCCTCCCTTGGCACCACCTTGTAGGCGTGACAGTTGCCGAAGCCTCAATGGGGGTTGGAACTTCCAGATCAAAGCTGGAATGGCTACCCACTACAAGTCCCCCTTTTTGTCTATATACTGGATATCACTCTATATAAATAAAACACTGTAGGCAGGTGGATCTCTGTGAGTTCAAGGCCAGCCTGGGCTACCAAGTGAGTTCCAGGAAAAGGCGCAAAGCTACACAGACAAACCCTGTCTCCAAAAACCAAAAACAAAAAAAACAAAACAAAACAAAACAAAACAAACACTGATTGGCCAGTGAACAGGCAGGAAGTATAGGCGGGACAAGGAGAAAGGAGAATTGGGGGAACAGGAAGAAGCAGGGAGAGACACTGCCAGCCACCACCAGGACAAGGAGCATGTGAAGATGCCGGTAAGCCACAAGCCACATGGCAAGGTATAGATTTATAAAAATGGGTTAATTTAAGATATAAGAACAGTTAGAAAAAAAAAAGAAGAAGAAGAACAGTTAGCAAAAAGCCTGCCACAGCCATACAGTTTATAAGTAATATAAGCATCTGAGTGATTATTTTATACATGGGTTGTGGGACTGCGGGGTTTGGTGTGACCTGGAGAGAAGTTCTCTAGCAACAAATGATGCCCAACGGCTCGAGATTCCACCTTAAACCTGAGAATATTTAATAACCAATTCTAAACAGAGCCAAAACCAGGTTGTTGCTTCATGGCTCATGCAGGCAGCTAGACGCGGCAAAATGTGGGTTTGAACCCCTGGCGTGTACGTTTGACTGGCAGTATGACGGCAATGAGGCGTCTGCCAGCAGCACATTACACTGTGTGGTAGATTTAGTCTTTACTAGTTTTTTTTTTTATTTTAAAGAGGTTTCTGGGCTACACGCTACTTTGATAAAGCATAGAGCCACAATTTCTAAGACTTGATGGCTCACAGAGCTGGTGGAAAACTTACCACCGCCATGTTGGGAAGCTAAAGTGGGCATAGCCAGCAGCCACAGCGCTGTTTCAGTCTTAGAAGGCTGCAGTTTAAAGCAATAGTTTCACAATAAGACTGATTCAGATGAAATAGTTTACAATCTGTTTGAAATATGTGTAGGCTTGAAAGAGACACAAAAGGTAAATTAATATAAAAAAGCCACATAAAGATGAATATTACACAGAGAATTGGATTGTGTTGTCTTTGGGATTTTTAACTGCAAAAAAATACATTTGATGGAAAAAGATGTTGGATTAAACCAATATGTATATTTTAAAGGTACCTTGACTTCAAAATTTGGATATGTTACTTTGGAAAAGAGGTTCTGCTTTTGTTTCCACAGAATGCCAGAGGCTATGGATTTATTCCAGATAAAGATACATCAGGTTTGACCTTCCAAAACCCCCTGAAAGGTCTCCGATGACACCATGGCCCAGATAATCTAACATCCAGAATGGTTTCAAGGCAACTGGCTCACACAATACAGCCTCACGGACTACCCCATAAGCCTAAAATTTTCTTTGTGCCCCCATAAGATACAGCACCCCACTCCAGCAGGAAATAGTAAGAGATGCTATGCCCAAATTCCCAAATATACCAAGCTGGCTTTAGAGGTGGAATTGGCTCACTCCCCCTCTAAACCCAGACATATTGCTTTAAAAAATGGTTAAAAGATTCTTGTGTCGCAAATCAGAAGACCC